AGGAATTTCAACTGGTGAGCAAGAGTGGAAATATCTCTCTAGCCAGAGAGACTAGCAGGAGCAAAGACATGGATTAGTCAGGAGCAGATAGACTAGGAATGTCTTAGTGGCTCGGCCCATTGCTTGTGCAATATTATGAGTGCAGACCCCAAGAAAGAAAATACCTATGAAAACAAGCTCCTGGTGGCTAAGTGGGCTCAGAATTAATACAAACAAACAACATCATCAACAACAAAACATCTAGCAGCCATTTCTAAACATAGGCCTCTTCTTTAAACTGCACTTTAGGGAGAAGCCTGCACTAAACTACTGTACTGTGCCTCCTGCACTGTGCTTCTGCCATTTGAGCCAACCCTCATAAAGAAGTTCCTGGAATCCTATTTCAATCAGTAAGACTGAAACTTTCCCATCCAATTGGAGCTGTGCAGCTGTGTCTATATTTAGCATTTTCACTAACCAATCAGAGCAGCTCCATTCCAACCAATCAGAACAGTGCTTTTTGGACCAATCAAACTATGAAGATTTGGTGTCTTCATTTGCATGAAGATGGACCAATCAAGGTCCAGGGTTGGGAACTACTCTCTACATAAGTCAGCTCCCTTATGGCTTTGGAGCATAGTTTTCCTTTCCAGTGGGTGTTACTGTAGGGACCCTGGAGCTGAAAGTATGTAGGAAGACATCTTGTGGGTGTGGAGCCTTTTTGTCTTCCTGTACCTGAGTGGATTGGACCTGACTGGACCAGAGGAGAGCCAAGCAGGGCTGCCTCGTGGCCATGTTGTTCCACAGCCATGTTGTGTCACAGTTGATCTGTTTGCAGTGAAAAATGTCTCTTCCTTCACCTCACCCCAAGGTGGGGATTCCCATTGGCATTAAATTATGTGAGGCATTGGGGAACTCTGAATCATGGGAGGAATCCGCTGGCCAGAGCTTGTCACTCAGCCGTCGCCTGATCTGGAAGGAAAAAACAAATGCAGGAAGTACAGGATGCACTTTGGTGAGCAGTTCGTGCCAATAGGTGGAATGCGAACATTCATGACACACTTAAAGAAAGCATGAGTAATGTGGTTTAAATGGAGCAGCCTGTTTAGGCCAATATGGTCCTGATTACAAAAAGTCTTCAGTGTCAGGTTAAGACCATATTCTGGAGAAAATAGGCAACCTCTGAAAGTTTTTGAGTGATATGACTGAAACTACCTTTCAGAAAGACCCTGGTGTCAGGGAGGGGGAATTGTTTGGTGAACAATCCCAGGGAGGGGGACACGGGTCTGGACAAAAGTGGGAGCAGAACCCAAGGAGGCCTCTTTTCTCCTCCTTTTGTAGGACTTTCATGGTCCACCTTGTATTACAATAATGCAGTGTTGTTCCCAGTTCTGCTACTGGGGGACTTTGAACAAGTTATTTAACCATTGTGAGTCTGTGCCTCCATGTGTAAATTGGAAGTGATAGTTATAACACCTACCTCATTGGGTTGTTGGGAGATGTAAATGAAGTATTTGGAGTGAGTTCTTTTGCTCAGTGCCTGACATACCAAGTGTTCAAAGTTAAATATGACCCTCTTATTTATTATAATGATAGTACATTCCTTTTATAATTACATCCTCAAAGTTAATTAAATAAATGAATAAACAAAAACTGCTTTACGTCCTAGGCCTGCAGCTAGGCTTGGTGAAAGAGGTCCTTGGGGGAAGAAAGGGAGGTCTTGTGTGTTGGTGCGGGGAGCAGACAGACTTCTAGGGAAAGCATCTGTAGAGCTGGCTATTGATATCTGGGTTCTCCAGCTCCAGCAACATCTGGAAAGCAGTTTCATCTTGGAATCTCAACCTGAGCAGCTGACTCTTACTGCAAAGCAGTCATTTTGAAGCTGAGCACACTTAGAGCCAAGGAAGCCAAAATCCCACTTGTCCTGAGTCATATCTGCAGAGACCAAGACACTTTCCAGGCCTGAGACAGGCCTCTATCTGATGGTTGAATAACACGATTGATTACCTTGTTACAGTTTCAGTGCATTCTCTTTCACCCCAGATCTCTTCCTGTTCTTGGACTGATGTTAATTTTTCCTCCCAGGCAGGACTTGAAAACCCGCAGCTGACATCTGCAAGCTTCTTTTTGCTTGTGTAATAAAAACATGTAGAGTTCAGGAGGGAGAACTGCAGCTCACAGCCATTCAGAGGTTTCCTTGAGAAACAAGACTCAGGGCTCCTAACTCAGACTCCTTCTCTCTGTCTTGGTGTGGGGATGTTTCCCGGGGTCACCTCTACTCCAATTCACAGGAAAGGGAAAATGGGGACTTTGCCTTTCATTCTCCATCACCTAGAAGGTCAGCCCTGAGCACAACTGGACACACCCTCCTGGTCTAAGACCTGAGCTGCCTTTTTTTGGACCTTTCTTGGGCACGTGGAGGAAGCTTCGATATTTACTCTTTCCAGGAATTGGCCTTGTTTATGGAGGGGAGGGGGTTAAGCTTGCAGGCTCCACAGTTAGATTGTCTGCCGTAGTCCTGGCTGAGCTGCGTATCTTGGTTTGCCCATCTATAAAATAAGAGTAGCAACAGTGCTTACCTCATGAGGTTTCTGTGGGGATAAAATGAGTTGATATAGGTAGAGCAGTGCCTGATGTAGTGTGAGCCCTCATAAAGATCATCATCATTGTTATATTCAGTGTACAAATCTTTCATTTCCTTGGTTTTATTTCTAGGTATTTTATTCTTTTGCCACTATTAAAAATAGTTTTAACTTTTGCTTTCTTATTCATTGCTAGTGTATAGAAATACAATTGATTTTTGTATGTTGATCTTGTATGTTGCCACACTACTAAACTCATTCATTAGTTCTAATAGTTCTTTAAGGGATTCCTTAGGATCTCTATATAGCAGATCACATCATGTACAAATAGAAATAGTTTTACTTCTTCTTTTTCAATCTGGTTTAGAAGAAAGGGCTTTATATGTTTTGAGCATCTTTGTTGCTTACCTGCTCTCTCCCCCATCAATCCCCAACTGTTTTTCAGTGGGATAGAAGTGTTCATTGTTACTCATTCACAGCAGTGTTGTGAGGATTAAATGAGTTAATACACATTTAAAGTTATTAAAACAGTACCAAGCAAAGAGAAAATGTAAATATACTGTCATTATCATCAGTGTCACATTACAATTACTTACCTGTTCTTGCTCCATTTATACCACTCACTTTATATTACCCATCATATATATGTATATATGTCAGATATTTTGGAGAAAAAAATATTTTTGTAAGTAAAAGGGAATAGTTCTTGCCTTTGAGGCTTTTGGAGTTAATAAAAGAATGAGAAAAGTACAAGAATAACTGGAATGCTGGTGAGCGGTGTTAGATTCCTGGCCAAGAATGACGGAGAAAATTAAAGATTGCACTAGAGCACAAAAGTCACAATGAAATCCTGAAAGGCTCCTGACACAATGGCTAAAGCATGGTAAATGGTGAATAATGTTAAGTGAATATCATGGCTGCCCCTCACCTGAGGAGCCTCCTTACCCCTTGTACCTGGTCAGTTACCATGTTCCAGAAGTTCTATCCACTTCGTAGTTTTTTAATTTATCAGATTCACTACCACAAACTTAGTTTAGGCAACTGTTCTCTCTCCCCTGAGAACTACAGCAATCTCGCATCCACTCTTGTTCCCTGAGTGTGGTCTCCCCAGTGCAGCCAGAGTGACCTCTACATATGTGACCAATCCCTGCTGAGCTCAGGGGGAAGGCCCAAGCTCCTTGACACAACCTGTAGGCCCCTCTGGGGTCCAATGTCTGCTCCACTTGACTAGAAGATCCTGGAGAACAGTCTTCATTTTGTCTTTCTTTGCATCTCCTGTGGTCAGCCAGAAACTCTCTGTTATATAAATGAATATAATTCTTAAAAATCAAAACATTGAGAAAATTATAAAATTCAACATCACAGACTTAACTGTCAAATATTAGAGCTGCACCAGGACTGTCTGACCAGCAGCTGCCCTCAAGGAACTCATAGGAAATTGACCTTGGTGACGTGAGGCGGTGCTCACGTCGGCCACTTTGGCACGGTGCTCTGGCTCCTTGCACTGCCTTCCTTTGGGTATGGAATTAATTTTGTCCTGAAGTGAGTCACGGGGCTATTTCTAGTGGTCTCGACTGCCATCTGACACACTTAGCCGCGTGGCTGCTCAAGAGAGCCAGTGCCTTGTCTGTTCCAAAGTAACTGTCCTCAGAAACTCCTTCCACCTGGAAGGTTCTGATCAGAAATCATGGAACTGGCCAGTCTTTGTGTTCTTCACACCAGCCCTGCACCAGCCCTGCACCCACACCAGCTGTAGGGCCACCTGCTGGTGTTTGCTGATGGAAGGGTATTCATGATCTGATTTCTAGCACTGAGATCATGCTGTTAACAGGTTCTCTCTATTTCTTTGCTTGGGCAAGCTGCTTAAACACCCTTGAGTCTCAATTTAGTCATCTTTACATGGGGATAAAAAATCATAAATATGCAAGCAGGTTATTGTGAGGATTAAATGAGATAAAACGTGTTCAACATCACATCATAAAGGTTTTATGGATGTCAGGTATCGTTCGTTTTTTAATGCTTTATTTTAAAACAGGATTTGTGGGAGCTACTAAAACATGAGCAAAAGTATAAGAAGTAAATGGGAAAACCGGAGTTAAGTGGTACATAGCATCACCCCAGAGAATCGTGAGGGTTCCAGCTTTCTTATACCAGACACCAACTTGGCCATTCATTTGTTCATTTGCTGGAAGGGCACTTTGAGCAGCTCTGCGGTGTGGCAGCATGTGCAGAGGGGTGAAAGACTGTGTTTATGCTTCAGGTGGGTCAGCAGAGCCCAGAGCTGCCCAACTGAAACACAGTGAGGCGGGAACTGTGAGGGAAAATGGAGGAGGGCTTGCCTGCATGAGGAGCTGGCCCTGCAGTTAACTCCCCAGTCCTGATGCTGTCTGCTCTGTGTTCATGTTTCAGCAGCCATCTTGGAGCCGAATGTGACGCAAAATGGCCAAGGTTGTCACCCAGTATTCCCACCCCAAGCTGACCCACCCTGCGGTGAGGACCACGGGCAGAGAGCTAGGTCACATTGAAAATGGCCTCAGCAGGTAAGGTGGGCTTTTAATTTTATGCATGAAAACAGTTATTCCCATAGCTGATCTGGACTGCGGGGGAAAGAACGCCTTCGCCTGTGGTCAACCACAGGTTGGAGGGCAAGGGATGTTTGCTGAGATCCTTTTACCTTTTTCATCTCACCAAATCCTCACAGCCCACACTTTCATAGTTTTTAATCTCATTTTAGATGTGGGAAAACGAGGCTCGAAAAGTTACATAACTTCTAGATTTTAAAGTTCTACTGTAGAAACTTCTCCAAGCTGGCACACTTCCTCATGTGTACCTCAGACATGTGGGACTCTGTTGGGGGTGCTGCACAAATCAGAGGCCCTGCTCTCATGTCCAGGGCAGGTCAGGATTCACACCGTGGTCATAGGCCTGTTGGAGGGTCCATGACTTGCTGGCGAAGCCATTAGCCCATTTACGATACCCCAACACAGGCGGCCATAGGAAAACCTAGGGTCTTGAGTTCTACACCTAGCTCTGTCCCTGACTTACTAGTAGACTTGGGGAAATTCACTTAGCCTCTTCATGCCTCAGTTTCTTCAACTGCAAAATGGAGCAGCATTCTTTTTCAAGCACCTGGTGAGGAAATAGGAGACTACCCACATGAGGCAAGAAGACTGACATTTTTGTTTCTTAAGTTCCCAACGTGTTGACTGAGTGGAACCATGAGAAACTTAATTTCCAACGCTTATGTTATTTTTGTCCTAAATACATAACACTGAAAATGTCTCACTCTCATGACGACTGCCTATTACCTGGTGGCCAAATAATGCACTGACAGTCCTTCATTCCCTGGCACTTGGCCCCCATCCATCACTTGTCCTCACCCACTTATGAACATAAATCACTTCCTCTCTCAGAAACACTGTTGTTTCTTCTCTATCTGGATTCTTGATTCCAGTTCCTTAGCAACTTCTGTTAATAAGTGATAGACAACAATTTGCAAAGAGATTGAGTCTCTATTATTGAAAACTTATGTAGCCCTTACATCCCACTTTCTGGGGTTTAGATAAAGGGAGAAAAACCTCAAAACATCCCAACAGAGATTTATTCTGTCCAACCGTTTTAATGTGGTGCTGGAGCTCAGGAAATTCGATGTGACCCCGGGGCATCAGAAATCCCCACCATCCTCAAGTTGCTGCATCCCAGCTGGCCTACTGTCAACACCTGTGTCCCACCACTGGGGACTTATTCTTTTGGATTAAGGCATTGCTCCTTATTTAAAAGAAAAAAAAGTCAGGGTCCCTGGGCAGCATCAGGCTCCTGGGATCGTGGGCCCAGTGGGATAAGGATAGAAACTGTGGGGATGAGGGGGGTTTGAAGCGAAATGGAACTCATACCCCATTGCTCCCTTTTACTTTAATGGGGCACAAGCAGAGCATCTCACAGAGCTTGCAGACTCCCTGGGGCTGAGACAGCAACAGCGGGGATTCAGTCTGCCTCCTTCCAGTGAGATTCTTAAGAGAGGGTAGGCCCCATTGGTGATGGGGCTGCTGCTCAGAACTCCTGATGGACCAGATGCCATAGTAGTCCGACTCTGCCTGACTTGTCCTGGCTCTTCCTCAGCCAGTGGCCTACAAGCCTAACCTGGGGCTGTCCAAGAGGGCTCACAAGGTCTCCTGGAAGACAAGCCTTTGCAAAACAAATGGCCAGCTCATCAGGCTACACTCATACCCAGTGATGGGGCTCTGGCATCTAAGGGACACTTCGGCTCAGCTGGGGTCATTCATGCTCTCAGGGGATGGTTGGGGCTCTGAATCAACGGTATTTGCCATTTTTATGGGTGAGGAAGTGCCCTCCCAACTCCCCCGTGTCCCCACCCCCTGCCCAGCGTGGTGGCTAACAGCACAGGCTCAGGATCAGACTGCTTACCTGAATGATGGCTCCGTAATGGGCCAGCTCTGAAAAGGTGCTCAACTGCGCAAGCCCCACACAGTGAGAGGCTGTGGGGTTCAGAAAGGTCGCAGCTCTGGGTTCCATCCGTGCCTGCAGTGAGTGCTTCCGCAGTCACTGTCAGCCTTGGAAAAGAGCCCTCCACTCCCACGTGCAGCCTCTGGTGTCCCCGCTGGAAGCCTTCTCCACCTCAGACCTGAGAGCCCAGCCATTCCAGCACCTGGAGCTGGCCCTTTCCTGCCTGTGTCCAAGTCTTGCTTTCTCAGCCTGATCACTAGCCAAGTCTCGCTGAGCTCCACTCGGGGCCTGGCCCAACAGCTCTCATGGGAAAAAGTTGTTGACAGATTAATGCAGCATCCCATGGAAACTCTGCATAGATTTCAAAAGGGGAGAGCAAAAGGATGCTTCTTTCATGAGAGAGAGATGCTTTATTTCAAGGAGGCAGGAGTGTGTTAACAGATGGAAGTTTCCAGAATGGGTTCCCTGGCATCACCAAGGATTGAGAACCGTGTTCAGGCTGGGGCTGGAACAGCAGCATCCAGGCCCCTCCCCCACTTTCCAGCGCAGCCCAACATCTAGTTTCCCCTGATTTATTTGAACAAAGGACTCTGACACATACAGAAAAACATTTTAAAGTTTTAAATCTCTGTTTTAGGGGAGGAAATAGTATTTGAACAAACCAGAGAGCTTTGCCTTGAAATTCAAATCCTTTTAGAAAGCTTTTGGGAGAAATAATTGTGAGTGTATGTCCTTAAATATTAATTACTCTTTATCCTCAATGACATCAAGAAACTATGCTGGAAACCTGTGTGTCAGGGTGGTCCTCTGCTGAGTGCCCCCAAGAGGGAGGAGGCATTATGTTCCCACCTGCTAAGACTGTCCCCAGGTCTTTCACCAAAGTGGACAACCAGATTTCTGTTTCTCTTTTTAAACCATTAAGGTCATTTTCTTGGTGAAGAGTCATAAGGAAAAATGAAAACATTTCATTTGAACCAAAAAAATTAAATTTACACCCTGAAAATACCAGAAATAAAAAGTCTTGAACTTTTTTTTCTGCGTAAATCTGTTTTGTTGACTCAATTATTTAAGAGCCATTTGGAAAATTTTGGAAGATAATGCAATAGAGAAAGACTCCAGAAGGTACTACAGAAAAGTGCAGCTAGGCACAAGGGCACCTCAAGTCCCAGCCCCATCTCCTGCTATAGCTATGTTAGGTGAGCTTTTGGGCATCTGGGGTTTTTTCCCCTGCGGAAAAGAAGCATTCTCCATGCTGCGTCCTGAGCAGAGCCCAAAGAAGTTATCACTGAAGAAAGCCATTTCCAGCTGTTTCCCAAGATGGAAGGCAAGAATTCACTGACTTCAGTACCCTGGTCATATGCTGATGGCAGCATATGCCGGTGGCAGCGTATGCCAGTCATTCAAGTTCCTCAGGGCTTGGGGAGTGGAGGAAAGACATGAGCCACTATGTTCTCCACCTTGGTTCTAGAAGGCCATTTCTGTTTGCTCTCATGTCCCCAAAGTCACCAGAAAAGGCACCAGGTGCCCTACAGAGGGCAAAGTTAATTACCAGTTCCCACTCTGACAAGACTCTGTCCTGACATGATCTGCTTGCTTGGCAGAGACCGAGGTTCCCATGAGCCCTCGCCCCAGGCCCCTCCACCAGCTTCAGGCAGGACACGCTCAGCCCCCAGCCTTTCCTGCCACCGTATTTCCCTGGGAAGCTCTAGGTCTCACTCTTGCATTGGTCACCAAACATTTCTCCCTTTCCTTAGTACCTGTGTGTCCTTGGGGACTCAAAACTGTCATCTCAGACACTCGGCTCCTCCCCTCTTATCCCACCCCCTTCCCATCTGGTGGTAGGATCAGTTCCTCTGAGGAGTAACTAGGTGGGTTTACTGGTTAATACCCTGGCGTTTAACAAGGTGGAGACTCTAGACTAGAAGAGGATATTGTGGTAGAAATTCAAGCATCAGGAACCAAGTGGGAAGATGCTTGGGGAAGAAAGGACCTCTCGGGTCCCCTGCACTTACGTCATACAAGGCACCCCACTTCTTCATGGCCGAATGTGCCCTTATGGTCTTGGGCGTATGAACAATACTTAAGTCAATATAGAATCACCAATTTTTCTTTCCTTTTCTTTTTGAAGACCAGGAAACAAACTCAGGGAGGGCGAGTGACCAGCCTACAGAACACCTAGAATGGGTGCTGGAGGTTAGGGCTTTGACCCAGGCCCCTTACTTTGCTGCCTTCCCTCAAGTGGGTGTCACAGGTCCATTCCCACTGCTGCCACTCCCACAGATCCAGTCCCACTGCTGCCAGCAGCAGGCCTGCTTTGAAATCGGGGAGGATTCTGCCCCCTTCATCAGCCCACAAGCTCTAATGTCATAGGCATTGACTCCTTTGCTATAAATGCAACCGAATCTGGTCTCAGAACATGCCCCCATGTAATTAACAGAAACCAGACCAGGCAGAAATGCCGGACTGACTGCTTGGTGCCTAGAGCTCCCTGAGGAGCTACTGGTGGGGAAAAAAACCCCTCTGTCCTTGGGATTGCCTCCAGGTCTTCTGGCCACACGTGCCATGTCAGAGCTCCAGCCCAGCTGTCAATTGCTGCCACTCGCTCTCCCCACCAACCCCCGACCTCCCTCCACCACATGCCAGCTGCTAGGATCCAGGTGCTGGAGAGACAGACTCGCTTGACCCCTGCCTGTTCCTTCTATAACTGACTTAGGTGCCTTGGAATGTGGATTCCACCTTTGTAGTACAGCAAATATTAGGAGGGCAAGGGAATGGAAGCTTTCTAACTGTAGCAGGGCCTGACAGGAAATAAAGAGCTACACCCACACAGTACAGTCAGGTGGACCAGAGTCATATCTCTAGTGGCATACCACAGGGCTCAGTACTCAGCCACATCCTTTTCAACTTTGCTTTAATCAGTACTATATGTGAAAATACAGAGGGCAGCTTCATGGAGTGCATGAGAGCAGGCTTTGAAGTGGGATGGAATGACATTCAAATCTCAGCTTTGCCACTTGGCTGTGTAGCCCTTGGGGAAGTTACTTAATGTCTCTGAACCTTAATTTCACTTCTTACTGAGTTGTTATATAGATTAAATGATAAAATGTATGTGGCCCATACACAGTAAGCAGTCCATAAATGGCATGTGATTTTTGTATTGCATTTGTGAATGAGATGGAGTTAGGAGGAAAGGCTAGTATGATGCTACTGCATACCAAGGATCCCTTAAAACATCAAGTGACTCAGATAATTGGGAAGGTCTAATACTTACCTCCAACAAATAAATTGTATATGCACAAGACAGGGCTTTCTGGTGTAGCAGCAGCCCGTGTTGTAGGGTTTGGCTGGTGGTAGTTGGTGATGGGGGCACCATATACATGCATGTGAACCCACAAACCTACAAAGAGCTCTGGCTTGGGCTCCAGGAACAACAAGATGGTCTCAATTTCCTTGCCCAGGCAGGTGAGACCACAGGAACCTGCTCCCAGGAGAGCCTGGGGACTCGAACTGATGAGGAATGGCTGAGTGGGCTGTGGGGTTTAGCCTGGAAAAACAGCAAGGTGTGAGAACGGACCCATCTTGGAAGGCAGCCATGGGGGAGATGGAGTTGCCTGACTCTGTGTGGTTCCAGCAGCCTGATCTGGGGAAGCTGAGGGAGGAAGAGAACTGCTAGCAGTCGGGGCTGTGCAAAGATGGCCTGAGCTCCCTGCTGCTGGAGATGGCAGAGATGTTGTAAGGAGACAGCAAACTGGTGGCTGGGATGCAGGACTGACCTCCCATCACTCACTGGACAGAAATAGAGGCTTGCCCCTGACAGGAATTTCTGCCTCCTCTTCAGCTGTGCTACCACCTTGTTAAGAAGGCTGATTAGGTTGGAACAGGTCACATGATAGAATTAATTTGTCTTGCCCGGCTCTTCAAGACTTGGAGAATGAAGTTCAGATCCCGAGAGGCCCATGCCTGGATGGCTTTTAATCAAGCTGATCAGACTTCAGCACTAGGAGGTTTTGAAAGAAAGGAAAATCTTCTCAGACACGTGGGTCTTGTTCTGGGCAACTCCACGAACACCAGGCTCTGCCGACGTGACTGGTGTTCCTACTGCATTGTGGGCACCTGGCCTGGGAATGTGCATGCTTCCCCCTGAATTGCCCAGTGAGCTCACTGCCCCAGTTACCCCCGCATTACAGGGGACGGAGGGTAGGGCCTGGTGAAAAGGGCACGATGGGTGTGGATTTTCATTTGAAAGCACCGCAGATGTGGGAGAGGAGGCTAAGGAAGGCTTCCTGAAGGAGGTGGCACTTGGCCTAGCCTTCGAGGATGGGATTTCAGTAGGCAGAGGTGAGTTTGAACTAAAATCCTTGTTCCGGGAGCATAGTGTGGAAGCAGCTGTTATGGCTCAAGATGGTGGCACTAGAACCTCCCCTTCCCAGTGCTCTGATGGTGCCCCTTTGCAGCTGGCTCACTCCCTCTCAACAAGCCCATGGCAGCAGCTGGACTTGAGTTTCTGTCCTTGGTCTGGCTTGCCATAAAGGAGAGGCCGCATTTATCCTAAGAGCCAAGATCTGCAGTGGAGTGACCTGAAGTGGGGAGCCCCTGGGTTGAGGACCTGTGACGGCAGCTGTCCTCATTAAGCAGGGCATCTGGCCATCTCATTCCTGAGTGTGTCCAGGAGGTGGATGAGCTTGAAATCAATTTAGCCTGCTGCATATTGGATTTCCTAGGACCCACTTGCCATGTGAAGAGACGTCAGAACTGCAGCAAGGGATCGCCATGGAGACCAGTGGACGGGCTGGATCCGGACGAGGCTCCTTCACCGGCCTCAGGCCTGCAAGGTAACTGATTGGTCTCAGCCCTCACCTGGGAAGGGAGAAACTGAGGCAGAAAGAAGCGGTGGGTGGGGGTGGGTTGACACTTTGGAGAAGAGACAGGAACAGAGCAGTCAGAAATCCATCGGTGGGTAATTTCCTCTTGGGCCAGGTGTTCCGAGCTCAGAAAAGTCTAAGAAAAACTGCCCCTATCTGAAATTGCTTTAATAAAAAGTGATATTGAAGGACTTGCCCAATTATGAAAGAATTCAAGAAAAAAGCCAACCAGGGAAGTTTCAGAAAAACATTTAGAAAAAATCCCAGCTAGCCATGGGAGACCATCGAGTGGGCCACCATGGCATGCAGACAATAGTGGTGCTTCCGAACTAGCCTCTGGCAGTCCTCACCAGTGCGTGTCTGGGCTTCATAGCTGTCCTTGTGAAAGCATTTCAGAGATTAACCAGGCTCTGTCTCCCTTCTGATGACAGCTGCACTCCGGCTAGCCATGCCACCTGAAGGGAGTCATACCCTTTCAGGTCTCACATAGAAATGCATCTAACCACTCCAGCCCCATAGTAGCGGGCTCAAAACAGAGGTCCAAAAATCTGGACTCGTCATCTTCTTCCACTAATGCTTTTTTTTTTTTTTAAACAATGCCATAGTTATTTTACAGTCCTGTGTTCTACAGTTTTGCTTAGGTTGATTGCAAAAATTTTATTTATTCTTCGTTATTTTCATTGTGGAGGATGCTGCTGCCATTATTCACATCACTCAGGCCCCGCAGCTGGATATTTAAGTGATGTGCAGTGTCTTTGTCTTATTAATAAAGTACTGTCTTAATGCTCACTGAATACAAGGAAAAGAACACCTCCAAACCAGCTCTAATTAAACCGCGTGGGGCAGGGCTGGGGCAGGGTGCTGGTGGCAGGTGAGATTCAGGCCACCTCAGGAAACAAGCCAGGGCTTATGGGTGAAACAGGGGAAACAGTGCCTTCTTTCTCTCATTTTCTTATGGAGTTTCAGGTCTTGGTGCTTTTTTCTGCATGTCTGTTTTGTTTCTCTCTCTCTCTGCTCACACATCAGCAGGCATGGGCTGAATATGACCTTTGCTGTGTGATATCAAGTTGAAACACCCAACCCCATCTTGAAGTGGGTCTTAAGTTCAGAGGCTTGAGTAACTCGCTGTGAGTCAGCCACGGCTGAGGCTGGAGGGCGAGATATGGCCCCAATTCAGCCTTCTCAGCAGAGGGAGGACGAGGAAGGGGGAGTGTCTGGAGCAGACAGGTGGGGCTGGTGAGCACTTCGAAGGACTCTGCAGCAGCAGCTGTAAGCATCTGTTCCTGGGATGCTTTCTTGCTTCAATCCATTCCCGTGGGCTAAGGTCACAAGCGTGCAATTAAAATCAAGTATGTGACAATTCATGACTTCATTCCAGATTGCTCAGAACTGATTTTTGGGGGTTACAGTGGCATGCACTGTAGATGACAAATCAGAAAAACCAGACATTGAGATGCAGAGCGGAGCCTCTCCTCCTGGTCCCCTCCAGCAGAGATGAGGCGGCAGGAGGCTTGAAGGTTTCCCCCAGAAAGCTGGAGCTAAAGCCAGCTCTGGGGATGGGGACTGCCCGTCTTGGGGCTTGAGGCCCCTGTGGGGGCTGGCCCCAGGAGAAGGGTCAGGGCAAGTTACAACAGAATTGACATGCAAGCCTGGGGAGAAAATGAGTGTATAAGAACTATCAATCAGACAAAGGTTAGGGCAAGACTCTAAATTGTATCTAGGAGCTTGTTCCTTTAAGCCTTGCTCTAAATTTTTCACCATCTAGAAAGTGCTTTTTATTGCTCCTCTGCTTACTAGTCCTAACACAGAGCTCCACGCAGGGCAAAAGCGATGGTGAGCTTGCCCATGCCTGTTTGAAGGCTCATGCTTCTGTAGGGTTGAGGCTGTGGAAAGACAGAGCCATACTGAAGACAACGTCCCTTTCAGAGGAAGCTGTGTCCCAGGTGAAGCGGGCAGAGGATGCAGGAATAAAGTCCCTGGCATAGTGAGGTGCAACCTGAGCCAGGCCGGAGGGGACAGGTGCTCCTCTCCCTCCTCTGTGCGCTGCTGCAGGTCTGTCCCCTTCCAGGTTATGGCGCCACATTATCTCGCTTCGCCTGTGGGCCACCAGGCACTTATACCCCCAGGACCAGAGACCTGACTCTTTCCTGGAGCGTTTCCGAGGAGCCGAGCTCAAGGAGGTGTCCAACAGAGGAAGCAACTCCCAGTGCGGCGTGGGCGGCCAGGAATCAGACAGAGGGAGGAGGTATGAAGCCAAAGAGAAATGGCTGCCTGCACCAGACATGGGTGTCAGGCAGGAGAGCGAGCGGGCGGGCATGCGGCAGCGCTTGCTTCTTCTCCTTGAAGGTGTTGGTCTTGGGGGAGCACTGCGTGCTCTAAGTGTCCCCCATCCCCCACCCCAGAGTCCAAGAAGCCCTGCAGGAGAGAAATTCTTTAACCAGAGTCCCCAGCCTCAGGCGACCCCTGCCCCAATCCTTTCCAGAGCTCAGCCAGTGTCTCCTGGAATTGGTGCTGTCAGAAACACCCGTGGGGGTGCTTGTCTCACCCACTCCTTTCTATCAGAGGGCCCTAGCCCTGGACTGCACTGTGACCCACCTGGACAAAAACAGGGGTTCTTACAGCACAAGCCTTGAGGAGAACCCAGATGGTGCCCAGAGTGTTGTGCATAGGTATGCACGCATTCCTCCGGGAAGAAGGTCTGCAAGTGGGTCAGAATTTTTGAGGGGTTCTGGGATCTGTTTAGGAACCCTGAGGGGTGGGGTAGGAGGCGGGGCTAGGGCAGGGCAGGTGTTTGTTTTTCCGTAAGAGAAGGGTCTGGGAGCAAGGACTCTGGGCCTCTTCTCCGGACCCACTGCCCAGCTGGCAGTGAGTGGCAGGGGCCATGTGGCACAGCTGTGTGGACAGACCTGCAGGTGCTGGACTGGCTTCCCCACCCCACACCCCATGCAGCCTTGCCTCCCTCTTTTCTTGTCCTTGAGACAGCTTCCCAGCCCGTGGTCAGTGGAGAGACCACTGGGCCACCATCAGTTAACTCAGTGGTCACTGAGCAGCAGAAGGTCCCTGGGCCCCGAGGGGCAGGTGGAGATCATGAAACTGGATCTTCCTGGAGCTTTTGTTTTACTCCCATATTTGTATATGTGGGTAGGGGGAGTATTTTTACTACAGATGTGCAGTAGGTTGCAAAATGTACACGCATATTTAAGATAAAATCTGCGAGTTTGAGGCGATTTCTTGCTAGACCACTGTAGGAGACCTGGTTGAGTCTTATTGCTGGGGAGAGCTGTGAGGATTGCTGACTTGGATGTGGGGGCCCCTGGAGTGCATGCTGGGGCTCACATCTTCCCATGAGTGTGGATGCAAACCCCTGGGCTCCCTGGGCTGTGGGGTGGGGACCGTGGAGGGCTCGAGTACAGGCGGCACATATGCAAGGACATCCCAGGTCCCCAGGGCCAGGCAATCCAGACCCTGCCTGCAAGGCCTGCCTGCTATTTGCCCTGACAGGGGTGGTAGTCAAAGGGAGAGAGAAGGTGGGGGAGAGGAGACAGAGAAGGAAAGAGGGAGGAAAAAGAGGTTTGCTAGCAAACCGGCCAGACTGGTTCAGTTCCTTTTGGGCGAGCAAAGACTTCTTGGCTTAACTGATCAAATTACCTTCTCCACAGCCTTACACATGAACATAAGGCTCCTTATCCATTTCCCAGTGTAACCAGATGAGCAGAGGATTGAGCTAGGACCCCATCAGGGCCAGGCCCAACTGTACCACAGAGGCCTGGTCACTCTTGGGATGGTTCAGGGTGGGGAGATAATGTCGATGCCCCAGGATGGTAGCCAGTCAATCAGGGAGGCTTCCTGGAAGAGAGACTGTGTTTTTGAGGTAAAGTCTCATTGGCAAAGCAGAGAGTGTGCAGAGATGGGTCTGAGCTCTGTGGGGTTACCAGCACAGAGATGTGGTGAGCACAGGCCACTGTGCCCCATGCAGCTAAGCTTTCCCTCCTGTGCAGTCTCACAGGGGAGTTTTGCTTCCTTGGGGGATTTTCTGATGTTCGGAGCCAATTCCCAATAAGCAGTTAGAGCAGCGCCCTGGGTGAGGAGAGGGAGGCTTGGATAGGGTGGGCAGAAATACTGGGATGGCATTTGGCTAGATGGTCAGCATCGTAGAAGAGGTGCCCTGCGGGTGGGGTTAGAGCATCACTGGCCCCTGGCTTTGGTCTCTAGGTCTCCTGTGAGTGTCTGCAGTGACCATGGATAGGCAAGCCACCCTCGGGCTCTGTGAGGCCAAGCTGGCTTCCTTACACCAGCCATGTCCTGGCACTTGGCCACTTGGAGATGGACACTTGGTTCACCATGAGGTGCTGAGCAATTCAGATTTAAGTAAACATCCAGTTGGGTACAAAACCAGCTCTGCTCCCTACCAGGTTCTCACAGAGATCGGGGTGGCAGGCCCAGAAGTTTTAAGATGAACGAGAGGGCAGGGGACGGGGGAGGAGAGATTAAACCCTTGGACGGTTCTGCCTACTGTCTCGGTCTTCGTTTGCTTGCAAATTGGAAGCGGCTGCTATGGCTGATTTTCGAGGGTGGGCACTTTTGAGAGCCAGGCTCGTGTAGACAAGGGTAGCAAGTTGTCACCACTGCTGATGTGTCTGTTCTGGTGCAGAAGGCGCTTGACTGCTTCACCTGAGAGCACCTGAAGGGCAGGTGTCACGTCGAGTCTGTGTCTATGCCCCTCATGCAACCTGGCACATGGCTAAACTGACTGAAATTGAGTGGAATCTGAGCCAGATGTACACAGTTACTCCCCATTTATTTAGAAACCTCCATTTAGCCAAGCATTCACCTCTTTCCCCAAAGCTTTGACCATAGCAAACCCGTCACAAGACATCTCAGCCCCTGACAAAGAGCAACACCATCTGTCCTTCAAGCTTTGTGGTAAGGCCCGGGAGATGAGATGCGGATACTAGACTAGCCACCTGGGGGGCAAGTAGTCCCCAGGAATGGGAGCTGAGTTTAGGTTCCCATGCTGCATCGTTTCTGCCTCCTGCAGTGGCTGGCCTCTGGCCAGGGACAATGCCAACAACTGCAACAGCTCAGAGAAAGAGTGAGTACTTGTGCTCCCTGCAGAAACCCCAGCTCTGCCTTTCCCCTTGAGTACTCCTGCTTCCCATCCTCTCCAAACACCACTAGACCCTTCTAGAATCCTGTTCCTTTCATTGGAGTTCCATCTCTATGGACGAACGGGGAGGGAACCTGGTCTGTCTGACTTCTAGAAGCAGGTCATTTTATCTCATTGTCTCACTTTTTTTTCTTTATCTATAAAACAAAAGGGTTAGATGGGGTACATTTTAAGCTCTCTCACCTTATATTGCCATATGTTTGACAGCATAAATCGAAGCTCCTTAACAGAGCCAGGGGCATTCTCCTTTGAGATAAGAACATGTTTTCCATTCTACAACCTCATGCACCTGCATGCTAGAGAAGTGCCCTTGTCTTAAAGGCAGATTTGGGCTAATTTGGAAGGTGGAATTGGGGAAGTGGAAAGAGAGAATTTCAGTATTCCTAGGACATAGCCTCTGGAAACAGTGGCCTGCTGTAATTACTTTCTGTCACCAGATGCTGAGCCGGCAGATTAGTGTGATATGTGATTCTGGCAACTGTTGCCCAAGAGCAACAGGGATGGAGTGTGCGTGCATGCGTGTGTGTGATCATAAATGTGTGCTGGCGCATGTGCACCATTCTCCCACCTTCTTCATGGAATACGGTGGGAGTATGTAGGGGAGGGCGTCTCAGAGCTTAGGGAAAAACCATCATTATACCAGCAGTCAAGAAAAATGAAATTATTTCATTTGCAAAACATTTACAATTGCAATATGTACTTGACTGAAAGCCAAGCCTGATATTAACCACCCTCGAAATCCCGCATTGAGTCCCACAATCAGGGAGAGGCTCAGGGCCCTGGGAACCATGGACAGAGGTCCTGGGGTCTTCTGTCCTGGGGATGGGATGTGGATGAGTGTGGAGGTGGACAGTGTCGGCTGCATCGGGCTCCCATCAACCTTTTCAGATGGGCTCGTATCATGGGTCCACACTGCAGCCAGGGACCAAGGGACAGAGTTGGAGACTCCCAAGATGGGACACAGATACAGAAATAATTCTTATGGACACTCACTCCCATCCTTCCCCTGTACTTCTGGCATTTCCGCTTAGTCTCGTGTCCTAAATCTCCCTGATCAAGTTCTTCCCAGTCAGAAACCAGTATTGTTTTATAGCTCTGTGTAGGTCTTTTGGAGGCAGTGCTGGGTGGATTTGGGGATACAGCTGGATGATGCTGGCTCTTTCCTAGGCTCTTAGCAAGTTGGTAGCCAGAGGAAAGGTCAAGGCCTGTACCAGAGGTCACAGATCCCACAGAAGAAAACCTGAGCCCGGTGCAATTGAGCTCCCAGCCAGGCTAAGCGTGCCAATATGCTTGTGGGCAGCGCCCTCTGCTGGTGCCTTGAGGTTAAAATGTCAGTGGCAGAAAAGACCAGGAGGCAGATTACAGTAGATTAAAGAAGTCAGAGGATGGGTTACTGTCCTTGCTCTTTTCATGTAACAAATTTAATAAGTTTTTATTCTTACTCAATTTATGTGTATATGCATTGTCAAAAACTTTCCAAACACAGGAAAACACCCATGAACACACACCCACAGAGATGACAGCCCAATAAAACAGCAGCAGCAGAGTAAAGCCGAAAGGGAGCTATTCCACCCCCAGACTGCAGACTACTCAAAGATGAGCCACAGCATGGCAAACCTGCTCTCACCTGTATGGAGTTTGCTTCTCTCCTTCCCCCCTTCTCTCCCCGTCCTCGCTTTCTCATCACAGCCAGGTGTTTATGTGGTGTGGCGATAGGTTTTGAGAACAACCTGCAGGCCACACCCACATCCAAGAGTCTCAGTGACTTTTCCACCCTACACGTGTGGGTTTGGGTTTATTGCCGGTTGCCTCAAAATGTCTGCAGTCTCAGCTGTTTGTGCTTTGCTAGGGGCTCGTAAAAATGGGTCAGAAATTGCCCAGCGTGAGGCTGAAACACTGTCCGCCACATACGCTTCTTTGGGTGGTTCACCTCACACTTCGGGAACAAATAACAATAATAATAACAAAATAATTAAGTCGGTAACCTCATCTCATCCCAATGTGCTATAAATACTCACTTCCTACCCCATGCCCTCTCCTCCTTGTCACTCCAGCCTTCCCTCCCCATGTGATAGTGTCTGTAGTATATGAAAACTGCTAAATGTCACCCCATGTCACCCAGTGACCAAGCGAGAAAGAAGGAGAAAGAGAAAAAGGAAGAAGAGGGAAAGGAAAACCACCCCAAACTAGAGGAGTGAGTACTGGGAGCAGCCGCCTCCACAGGGTCTGCTGATCACAGGCCAAACTTCCTGGGCCAGGACCTGAGTCTGAGAGGGATGCCATGGGCCTCAGTGTAGCCCTGGAGCGGCGGCTGCTGAGGGCTCGGGAAGGACTTGGTCACAGGCGGGGCCAGGCTTCTGAGGTCCTGTGAGGGCCCGTTCTGCAGCAAGAGTGCTGCCCAGCTCAGAACCCATAGAGGGAAGCCTCCTGGTCTCCTTGGGGGCATAGGGACAGCTCTGCAGTCCAGCACATGAGGTGTTCAGGGTGGGGTAGAGACACATGAACCCAAAGAAAAAGAATCCCCAATACCACCTGTAAGCTCTAATCCTCAGAAAACCTGAAAATAAAAACAGAAAGCACCCTAAACCATCTCTCCATTCAGGGCTGGCCCACATTGTCCAGGCGGCGCCCAAGTTCGTGGTTTTGGTGGTTCTGATGGAAAGGCAGAATCCAGCTGTTTGGAGATGATCCTTTAGAATGTCTGTGCAAATGATGTGTGCAAGCAGGGCATGTCCCCAAGGGACTGCCCCAGGCTCCCAGATTCAGTTCCGAGGAGAGTTGCCTCAGAACCAATGGGCAACGTGTGAATGCACATTGCCAGGCCTCAGCCCTGGAGGGGGTCTGGGTGGGCCTAGGGATCTGCATTTTCACAAAGCTCCCCCAGATGGTTCTGACACTCCCTCTGCAGCCCTTGGAGACATCACCGTGCTGCATTTTCATTCCCAGTGTCCCGAGGGCAAGGAGGATACCTCAGACACATGGGAATGTTACCACCATGATTTTATAGTCCACTTTGACTCCCTGGGGATCTGAGCTGGGCTGGAAGGATCCCTAGAGTCTGCCCTGCCTCCCAGACTATCTTCCCATGCAGAGCCACTCATGTGCCCCCTAAGACTGAGAGGATGCTGAGCTTCAGCTTACAATTGCCCTGGGGTCCCCCTAAGCTAGGCCAGGTCTCTGAGACCCTCCAAAGCTGTGGTCTTCTGATGCACTGCACTGTGTTCATATGCGTCTGTTTCCAGAAAGAAGGACACCATCGTGGTAGACCCTGCCAGCAACGCATACTACCACTGGCTGACTGTCATCGCCCTGCCTGTCTTCTACAACTGGTGTCTGCTGGTCTGCAGGTAGGAGAGGGTAGGGAGCACATGAGGGCAGCCAGGCCCCGTGACAGAGCTCTGAGTCTCAGAGGCCCAGCCTCTGGCCCTCTCGCGGCCACCATCCAGCTTCATGTGCCTCAGTTTCACCATCCACAAGGTGGTTCTAGAAGGCACCATCAAGGTGCTCTGAAGCACTGGTGGGAACAAGCGGGGGCTGTGTCCTTCCTGAGCAAGCTGCAGGGCAGATGCAGGTGAGCGGCTGCTCTCTGTGGGCAAGCAGAAAGTCTGCAGGAGAGTGATGTTGGTCTGTCGTTTGTCCTCTAATGGGGCAGCTGACGGCTGGAAAGGCATTTTTGAGCAAAGTATAGGGCAAGGATGCAGGGACGAGAAGCTGAATTTCTGAGAGTGACCAGTGGGCTCTGGGAAGTTCCTGTGCAGGCATCTGGGGACATAGCTGTTGCTCTTCTGGAGTGCATAGGAGGCTTTGGGCTTTTCTAAGCAAACTTCAGGACAGAGTAAGAAGTGAACTGCTACTCTCTGTGAGTAAGCAAAGGGTGAGGGGCCTTTCCTAGCAGGCCTGTGGGACAAGGATGCAGGGTGAGCAGCCACTATGCTGAGAGTAGGTGGGAGGCATGGGGGAATGGGGGCTCTGTGGCTTTCCTGGGTCAGACTGAAGCAAGGAGGCAGGTTGAGTCCTGTGCTCCTGGTGGGTTTGGAGCTACCTGATGACACCGCCTACTGGATGCAGAGAGACACTCTGCTCTCAAGTGTGAGCTGGGAGCTCCAGGGCTTCGGGGGAGACCAGCTGCTCTTCTAATGGAGGACATGAGCAAGCTTCAGGACAGGGACACAGGAACAAGCTGCAGGACAGAGGCACAGGCACAACCTGCGGGCAGGGGCTCGGGGGCGAGCTGCTGCTCTGTGGGGGCTAGGAGAGATATTCGGAGGTATTGACCATATGAGAAATAGTGAGCATAAAAAGATCTAGAAAGTAGAAAAATTTACTGGCTTCTTCAGTTTTTAATCTCTCAGAAATTCTAATCTTTTTGTTGGCCTTTGACCCAGAGAGGGCAAGTCCTCCACCCTTTTAATTGACTCTCGCAGTGAAGCTGAGAGAAACTGCCCCTTCTGGGGCTCAGAGCTTCCTGCTTAGAAGCAACAGGACCCGCTCTTTGGGCTCAATGCCAGCTCTTGTTAGGAGGTCTGTGACCTTGGGACAGAAAGCCTTCTCAGAGCCTGGTGTCCACCCCAGGGTCTGGTCTGGTGATGCTGGGATACAAACTCGTGGCAGGGCTGCTACCGATGACCCAACCCAGTGTCTGCAGCCCTGAGCTGGTGCCCACCTGGGACCCTGCCCCGGACACTTGCTCCTTGTTGTTGGTTTAGGGCCTGTTTTGATGAGCTGCAATCTGAACACCAGATGCTGTGGCTGGTCCTGGACTACTCGGCGGATGTCCTCTATGGCTTGGATATGCTGGTGCGAGCCCGGACAGGTGCGTGTGCCCCGGGCCCAGGAACTCTCTGGGCCAGGCCAGGGGTGTCAGGGGACCACAGGCCATGTAGGGTGGACATCACCTCCCTCTGACCACCAGAGGCCAGGCAGGTCTGAGGAACTTTAGTGTGAGGGGGTGATGCCGCTTGGAGCTCCCTCTACAGTGACCCCTGGGGTTGGGATGCCTGGGTTCTGGTCTCTGCTATCCCAACCGTGTGACCTTGTGCAAGTTGAGCTGTTGCTCTGGGCCTTGTTTGTGTCGCCTGTGAAATCAGAGCACTCCAGGCCCTGCCCTCAACACTGTAGGAAGTGGGAGACAGCTCAGTCATCCTTGGGCAGCCAGAGGACCAGGATGTGCTGCTCAGTGGTTTTAGAGGACCTTAAATACGGAGAAGTAAAACCTGAAAGGGCCTTCCTTCAGTCGCCTCTGGTTGCAAGTGAGGGCTAACCCCCACGCCACCCCCACCATAGACTCTGAGCCATGTGTCCTTGGCGCACCCTTTTCTAATTTTCACAAAGGCATCTCATAAACTAGTGGAGGCCCTGTATGTCACTTGAACTAAAAAACACACCGTTGTTACGAATACAAACAACACCGGCTCGCAGGAACAAGCCTTAGTGAGGCTGGCTTGGTGGTGTGCATAGCGTTTTGGCGCGTCTTGTCTCCTCAGGGGAGCTGCTGCGCGAGACACTAGTGCAGTCACGACTCTCTCCATGTGGCTGATCTAGAAACAGGCCCAGAGATGCTGAGTGGTGTCTGGCTCAAAGTCCATGGTCACTACTCAGCAGGCCAGACTGGCACCCCGCT